GTACCCTTGCCTAACTTTCCACTGAATCTCTGTTAAATGATATGCATATAACCCCTTCCATGGTTTCTGCTATCATCTCTAACCTAATGTGAACCCAATGGTATCCCTGTAATAGTCATTAAAAAGTGTGTTCCTGAAATGGCTTCTATTCTTTCTGAACTGTATAATGTGCTTTCCTGCCTGCTGGAGGTCATCGTCTGTTGTTCTAGTTTTTAAGAACTCTGGTGATTTGTCTGACCCTTCCAACTATTGGCCTATTAGCCTTCTACCTCTTTTTGGGAAACTCCTAAATGCCCTAATTAGTGCTGAATTGATTCATCATCTCTTATCACAGGGCCTTTTCTCAGACAAGCAATATGGCTTTCTTTTCTCCTGGTCAACTGCTAAGGTACTGACGATAATTGTGGAAAGAGTATCATACTGTAGATAAAAATGGTGAAGCCCAGGCTGTAGTTTTGAACATCTTGAAAGCCTTTGACAAGGTTTGTCATACAGGTCTTCTCCACAAGCTGAAATGTTATGGTGTCTCTGGACACCTTTTTGAACTGATCCAGTCTTTCCTATCAAATCACGAAATGAAAGTTATCTTGAATGGCCACTTATCTACATCCTTTTGTACTAACATGAATGTACCCCAGGGCTCTATCCTTGGTCCTACTCCATTTTTGATTTTCATTAATGACCTTCCCAATGACATCAGCTCTCATCTTGGCATCTATGCTGATGATACAAGCATTTACCCATGCCTCAATAGTAAGACTGATCAGTATCAGTCTGATAAGTTTAAAATGGCAGCTGATGCCCAAAATGACCTCAAGTCTGTCATTAACTGGGGCAAAAGGTGGCTTATTAATTTTAACACCTCCAAAACTAAACTTCTCTCCATTAATTATCTGATAGTCTCTTCTCTGCCTTCCATCAGCATGGCTGATGCTAACCGCCAGGAAAGTGACTCGTTGTGCCTTCTCGGGCTAATTCTCTCAGCTGACATGAAGTGGAAAGATTATATTGAATTCATTGCTAGGTCACTGCTAAGAAATTCGGTTCACTGTGTTGCACAAGATAATTTTTCTCTCCAAAATCTGTCTTACATATCTATAAATCTACTATTTGTCCATGCTTAGAATATTGCTGCCACATATGGTCTGATGCCTCTGCTGTTTACCTAGAGCTCCTTAATAAGATCCAAAGAAGAATTGGCTTTCATGGTAATTTTTCAGATGGACTCTTTGCTATAGTACTTAGACTTCATGAATTTAAATGCAGTACTAGACTGACATTGAGATCCCATCAGTTGACAGTTGAGCTCGTTAGATGTAACCATAGATTTTATGCTAACAGTTTCTTTTTTCACACTTCTCACTTGTGGAACTCCCTTCCGGCTCCATGCTTTCCAACCAACTTTAATCTTCAAAAACTTAAATGCAATGTCAATCACTATCAACTATCCTCCTGATTACTTTTTCTCTTTCCACTCATTATTTAGGTTTCTGTTTCTAATTCCTCCACACCCTGTAACCCCTTGTGTCTTAGTGGCTTTACTGCCTTGCATGGAGTAATACTGTGCTCATTCTGTGTTCATTCTGTGCTTTTATAAACTTTCTGTCAAGCTTATACAGCTGTAATTTTACAGAGAAGAGTCTGTGGGATTATTCCACTTGTCTATCAAATAACTTTTGCTAATGACTGTTAGATCACATTGTCAAAAGTAGTATATAAAAAGGCTGCAAAGTTTCATCCTCTGTTTTTTTTTTTTTTCAATTAACAACAGCATATTTTATTGCCTGAACAAACTAAATAGGAAGAATAAAAAAAAAGTGAATTAAGATATGTGTGTCTTTTATTTTAGTTTTAATTTCAATCTGATAGATTATATTTTAATATTTCCAATAAGTAAACTTTGCTGTATTTCAAAAAAAATTTAAACTAAATTTAGTTTTTATCAAGTTTGGGGCATTTTTTTCATCATAGTATGCTCTTTTTTCAGGAAATTAGTAGAAGTAACTATTTTAGTCTTTCATTTGTGTGAATGTAATTGCTTAAAATGTTGTAGAAATTGCGTAAGTTGAATTGAGTAGTGGCCTAAGTTGCCAGGAAAAAGTTACAATGCTTATTTTCCTCCTACCTCTGAATTGCTACTTTTACAAATGCTAAAGTCTAATTTATGTTCAAGATGAAAGTTTATGATAAAAACACTTATAAAATACAATATAAGAGTACACATTACTGATTTATAAATTCTATATTCTATACACATATTTTGGTCAGTTGCAGAAAAAAATATACACTTAATATTTGTCAATTAATTAATAATGTGTTGTCATAAAATAAGGGAATAAAGAAATAGCTGAAATGAAATGATAATATGAGGAATAAAACTGTGGTGGAAGGCAGCCATAGTATTCTTCACCTTGAAATACTCGACTATAAAAGAAATGGTTGAAACTTATGGCCAGTAGTCAAATTGCATTGAAGCTCAAATATTTGTCTGTTTTTCTTTACAAAAACACATTGGTTGGTATCTAGTATGTAAATTGTTATAAAATTGTTTTGTCTTTTGTGAAGTTCAATGGCTTCCGGGAGAAAAGCTTCTTTTCAGTTATATGCAGATATGGAATATTTATAGGAAATTCTGTTGTCTAGGTTTTGTTATATTAAAAATCTGAAAATCCTAATTCCAAACAATAATAAAATAAAAATAAAGAAAACATTAATATTTAAGCTTACCTTTTAAAAGTTCAACAATAATTCTTCTGCTAATTTAAAAACACTTTGATGAATTTAAAAAAAATTTCATGTATGTAGGTCCTTACTTTCCATACAAACAATTATTTTTATTTGATGGGTGACTTTCACTGGATTTCGCAATTAATTTTGATTATTCCCAAATTTATTTCCAAGTAATAAAATTGTTATCATACAAAAAAATATTTGTCCCCAAAATTGCTGAAAACAATCGCAGTAAAGAAAACTTGGGGATCCAAAGTTTCAGGATTGTGGGTTCGGATCCAGCCCCGAATGTTTTTAATTTGCTCATGGAGTTGGCCTGATTCCAAAATGGTATATGTTGGGATATGGACCCTAGGAGTAAAGTTGAAAAAGTGTGATAGTCTGACATTCACATTTATTATATAGAAGAAGATGAGCTATTGAAAATTAGAAATTTGTATCCTTTTAATTGAAAAAATGTAACACACTGACATTCGCATTAATTATATAGAAGATGAGGTGTTGAAAACTAAAGAGTTGTGTCCCTTTAATTGAAAACATATGACACAGTGACACACTGACATTCACATTTATTATATAGAAAGGTGGTGATGTTAAACCAATAGACATTTTGATGATATAACCAATAGACATTTTGATTTAAATGGTGTATAGTGGAATGCTAACGGCATGTTTGTAATATTGTCTGTTATTAGGTAGAAAATAATGTATTTTTATATGGCATGTATGTGGGTATATAATTGTGTTGGAAATAGGATGTATTTCCTATATATTTACCATTTTATGTATTAATCTACTTTGCTAGTCTGTTTTATATGATATAAAATTATTAATTTATAACATTATGAAATAAAATAAACCCAATAACTTTCAGGTGACATCTACAAAACAATTTATAATGTCACCTATATATTTTATTTGAAATGTTTTTGCATTTTGTAACTTTGAATTGGTTTACTTCATAAGTGAACAGTTCATAATATAAGAAAAAAAGAATTATTCCTTAATAATGTTTTTCTTTTTCTCATATTCTTTCACTCTCAGTAACCTCTTTTATCTTAGTGGCTTTATTGCCTTGTTTAGGGTGAAATGATAAAAAAATGTTTTTGTTGTATTCAAAATGTCATAATTTTGTTGATATTCACTTTTGTTTCTTAAACTCAGAATATTGCATGTATTTATATAATTGATTCTGTTGGATAATTGAATGACAAAATGGAGAAAAATTCAAAGCAAAGTGTTTTGTCCTTTAAAAGGACTTCATCAGACTAAAATAATGTTCTAATTGATGGAATTATATATATGTAGGAGGAGGGGATGAAATAATGAAACCATCAATTAAAATTATGCACCAAGAGTAAATGCTGAAGTTATAGGAATGCTAAATTTTTTTAAATTCTGATATTTGATGATTGTCATTAATAAGAACATTATTTTTAGCTTAATTAAGTCCTTTTAAAGGACAAATGCATTACATAGAATTTTTTCCATTTTGTCATTCAATTACCTAATGTTCGGATATACAGAAATTTATATTCTTCCAAAATTGATTCTGAAGATAATGGTTTACTTAAAAATGTCAAATAGATTTGTTTTACATTTTTAATTAATTCATTGTTCCATTTTTTTCCTAGTTAATAAGTTATTTATTATGAGTGGGATTTAAATTCTCAATGAAAAATCAAATTTTATTTATGTACAAACAATTTGGTGTAAATGAATAGAGAATTACCTTTACAAACTTTGAAAAAGGGGTTGAATCCTACATACAAACTACTAATGCTTCTTACATAAAGTTAAATATTCAAAAATTAAACAAAGTATAATCAGCTATGATATACATGTATTCTTTGGTGTTATTGTAAAAACCTTTTTTGCCATATGAATTAAATAAAATTAGGAAAAATGCATAAAAAGATTAGATTACAGAGAAAGAACAGAAAATAAGTCACGTGATAATATGTCATGTGACTTAGTTGAGAGCGGGGGATTTGTTTATTTTCATAAATGATAAACTTGGAGCAAAGCTAACCAGACATTTTTAATGGATTTATTATTTATTTAATTGTATATTTGGAAGCAATTTCTTTTAATCTAAGTCTTTGCTTTTCTTTTATTCCTGTTTTTCGTTTCTCTCCTTGAAAGATGTTATACTGAAAGCTGTTGTGCAATGTTATAGAGGGATCGTTCATTGTTGTAGCGTCGTCATTTTCCAACATAAAATAGGGAATGCTCCCTGAGTAGCGACGGATCACGGGTAACGATTAAAGATGGCCGACGACGAGGAAGAGAGGGTGGAGGATGCGGCAAGCAGGGAGCCATCCGAGGCAAGCGAGGAATTTTCCGAGACTGTCGAAGAACAGTCTACAACAGAATCTGAAGAGCAAACCTCTTTACAACGTATGCTTTATAGTATTGCTTCAGAACGAGCCAGAGATTTTTCCTCGTTGAATATATCCAGTAAGTAATGACCATTTTTGCGACTACTAATTGTCGGCGACGGGGGTTGTTGTTATTGTCATTGCTGCGTTAACTTGTTTCTATCAGCAATATGATACTAATGTTTTATTTCAGTGCAGACCCTTTTTTTGGTGTGACTATCGTTTTTCTTTAGGCTTATTTTTTTAATTTATGAAAAAGTTGAGTACACCATCTGTACCTATACAATCGGCACGACTTTAAAAATGTATTCAAACATTTAAGAAACAAACAAACCTCAACAAACCACAGCAGAAATTGCCGATAATACACATACATGTAAAAAAAAGAAAATAAAAAAACATATACAGCAATATTATGACGATTCATTCAAATATTAATTAAACTTTTGATAGTTATTGTTAAATTTGTTTAGTTTCTAACTTAATTTTCTATTGTTAAATCCGCATTCCAAGTCATGAGAAAGGAAAATGTCATTTGTTGATTATTTCCCCGCCTCACCCCGTATTTTATTTTTAAATAACATTGGACTTTTGTTTTTCGGAAGATATAACAATAACATTTAATAAATGATTAATTTGAGTCTAAAACACTTATGATGTCTTAAAGAAAACAGATGTTTTTTGTTTTTTTTTTATTTCCAGTTTGTAGTTTTTAGACATTATTCGTAACAAGGCAATTTGCATGTTTCTAAAAATTAGAAACTTTTTAATTAAATTAGAAATTCTAATTAATTTAATTTAAACAAGTTCATTAAACATTTTTCTTTCTTAATCTCGTTATTAAGGTCTCTAATTCAAATAAATGCCTTTTTAATTTTTATTTTTAAGCATTTTCTTCGAAAAAAAAAAAAAAAATGTGACACTGAATTTTTATAGGAAAACTTTACTACTTTTACCGTACGGCTTAAGTACAGATTGAAACTTTTTTTTCTTAAAACAAATAAACTAAACACCTTTTCTTTACTCTTTTTTTTTTTTTTTTTCTCTCTTATTTTTTTTTTTTTTTAACTTAAACCACACCGTCTTATTTCTGATTTGTCTTAAAGAAAGTAAAGATTGCTCGATTCAAGATATGCGGGTTTCGTGATTTTATTAAAATAACCTGTTGCCACTTTTTTCATTTAAATAATTAATCCCGTTTCAATGACAGTAATGATAAGTAATTAAATAATAAATAATTGCCTTAATTAAAATAAGTTAAATGCCGAGAAGGATTTTTTAAAACTTTCCTATTCTAACACTGGCGATGGTGTCATTTAAGTGGAATGTAAATAAATATTAAATTAAAATAAATATGAAAATAAAACGTTTGCTTTCTCGTGTATTATCCAGAATAATTTTGTGATTATGATCAAAAAGTGTAGAGTAGATTATTTATTTTATTAAATGTGATATAATTTGTTTATATTCTGGCTTCCTGAAAAATTCAGGTGGGTGGGTGTTGTACAGATGACATAATCAAGTCCATATTCTGTTGGATAAGAAATTAGGAAGAAAATTTTTTCCTCCATTCGAATATTTCTTTTGTTTGTTGCTAGTCTTTAAAGGGAAACCTACCCTTTTTTTTTTATCTATGGTGCCAGTTTGTTTAGTGATTAAAAAAAAAAACAAGATTGCCACTTCTAAACAAACTGGTAAGTAAATCATATGTTCGTTAGTCACAACAATATTTGATATGTAGAGAAAAAGAACGGGACGGTTTTACTTTTACCTGTAGTAGTGTTATTTAGTAAGAAAATTAATTTAATTAGTATTTTCTTATTCGAAAACGCTTTGTTGTAATGTAAAGTTTAAAAAAAAAAGAAAGAAAAGGTTTTCGTTTTAATTAGCTTAGGAGAGGTCGGACACCTAACCATAAAGTGTGTGTGTGTGTCACACCTGATTTGATCAGAGAGAGAGGGTGCGGAAAATATGTTATCATTAAATAATTCGCTCTTCTGCATTCCTTGGCCGTTAAAAATATCTTCGTCTATTCATTATTGTCGAATACTAAAAAATGTAACCGGGTTTATATCTAGTGTCCAGCGTTACCTTGTGTCACGAGACCGTCCGATTATGATTTAGTGGTCACGTATCCTGCACACAGATTGTGTAGGTGGGGGAAAACCTTGAAGTGAAACCTCATCTATCCTTTTTATAATTCTCTACACTACAATGTACCAACGAAGAAAAACGTTGTATTCTACATTTTTTTTTTTTTTTTTTTTTTTTGTCATGGACACATGGTAAAAATGATACTTTTCTTTTTTTTTTTTTTTTTTTTTTTTTTTAAGAACGACATCAGAGCTTAACAAAAATTACCAGTAACAAAGACTTCTTGATACTGAAATTTCGAATGTACAATTGTTTAAAGTTAGAAAAAGGTTAACTTGTCATAGAAAGTAAAAAGATGTCCATTTGAATCTTTTAGAGAAAAAGAGATCGTGTTTTAGATTAAAAAGGAAACCTCTTTCATAAAATGCTACCGGTTATTAAATTTGCACAACGCTCTTTGAAGAAATTTGGACCGAAGAAATAAAAAAGATCTTCAATGTATTAGCGCAAATATTACTGTTAAAAACCGATGTTTTGCTTCTTTAGCTTATTTATTTATTTATGGCCACCCACGAAAACATAAAATTAAGTAGCGGCAGAGAGAGAGAGAGAGAAGATGAATGGAAAAATCGATTTCATAGCATTTTTTTTTCTGTAGTATGTATTGTAATAATGCCTCTTTCTTTCTTTTTACAGAATTTTTAAAAAAAAGTACTTTTTAACAAATCAGACAAAAATGCTATCCTGCTTTTTTAATTCGATTACTTACTTTGCATAGAACTCCTAAGAATCTGGTATGAGGACGGCGGGACGTTAAATCTTTCCTCCTCCAACGCAATTGTTAAGAAGAATCAGCTTTACTTTTATTTTATTAAATTCAGTAGTGTTTTCATGTTATCAATTTGAGTTACTTCTGTCAAACCTCGATGATTAGTGACTCATTTAGTGATTTTCGTCATTAGTGCTTTCTTTCCATTAACCATTTCGGTTTTGACTTTGAAGTGAAATTAAGCATAAGTTTGAACTTTTTTTGTTCTCTCTGAACAAAGCAAACGTAAAACGCTAAAAAAATTCACTCGGCTATGCAGAGAGATTCCTCCTCTGTACCACAAGACATTTTAACATTTTTTTTTTTTTTTTTTTTTTTTTTAATTTATCTATTCTTGGACAAAATACAGGAAAATGAGGTTTTGCATAGACTTGTTTAAGATTCTTATATTAGTTTTCATTTCCTTTAATTACTTTTTTATATACCCTCTTTAGTCAGCTCTTTTTTTTTTTTTTTTTTCCCATTTCTTCATATCCAAATCGGCCATTTCTAGTCCACTATTGGACAAAGACACCTGCCATATCTTACCAGTGAAGCCTGCTATCATTTTTACCTATTGTGTTTGCTCCCCATTGAGCACCACTCGAGTGACTTTTTACTGCTGTATTTTCTTTTTGCTATGTGTCCCGCCCACTTTGTGTTTTTTCTCATCACTCTTTTGATTACTGTTTCTAGACTTAAGTTTTGTGAAAGGTGGGAAAGATGTTTCTTTTCCCATATGCACTATGTAAATGGCTGTTCTACTTCTTTATAAAATTCTTTTGCATCTTGAAAAAGGTCTGTTACTATGCCATCTTTGGTGCTTCTCAGTTTCCCATTTTGAAGCATAACCACTACTTTATCTGTTGTTATCTCGAGAACATTCTTATCTGCCATAGTGACTGTTGGTAGTATTCCTTGGTTATCCTTGTATTAAATCTAAGTAAATCTATTTGTAGTGGCTGATTGGAATGATGGAGGTGGGATCAATTTAATAAGTATATGTGAAAAGCCTAGATAATCAAGCCAGGTAGTTTGAATTTTATTAGCATACCAGAAAAAGCTCTGTGTTGTTTAATTCTTTTTTTTCTTTCCTCTTCATCAGAAACAAGAGAAACTCTGAAATAATATTACCGTAAAGAAAATGAAATTACGTTGGTTAAATTCTTTAAGTGGGCTGTAGGTGAAACAAAATAGCCATGAAATTAAATCAAGATAGGATCAGATAGGTGAAGTTTGTCTAAAAATTTCTTTATAGATGAAATGATGGATTGCTGCTGTTCATCATTAAATTAACCTGTCTTTAGAATGAGATGATAATTCTGGAGAAAATAAAAAAAAACTGGCCTTTGACACAGTGAAATCACCACCTCCTCCATAATCCATTGCCCAAGAAGAGTTGATCAAATGAAGATATTTTCACCAGCTTTAGTTTTTGCATGCAGATTGATGATCATTTGGAAGAATTGTAGACTAACTTTGTCTGATCAAATTGTTGAACTGATTACCAATTAACAGTTCAGGTCAGTGCTGTTGTTTTTGCAATATGTTAACACATAAATCACTAATGGTCTGTAGTGGGTAGGCCATAGTACTACTAAAATGTGAAGTGTTAAACTAATAACTGTAATCTTTGATAAATAAACTTATTGTTCTTACAAGCAGGCAATAGTTATCTTTTCTGAAAGTTGCTTCCTTTTTTTTATAACTTGCCTCTTTACTTCCCAGGATTTTTCAACAGGCTTTACATAAGACTTCATCAGATCAAAAACTTAATCCTGTGGTGGAATTGATTGACTGGAGTGAGATGTCTAGTAGTGCCTTATAGGGGGCTAGTTATATTTTTGGCATCTTGTCCATATATTTGGTAGCTTTTTATCTATTGGTTTTGGATTGTGCATGTTTCAAGCTCTTGCTTTTTCTGGTACTTTCTTCTTTTATAAGCTTACTTTTAATATTTATTAGTTTAATTTTCTATTTTCAATTTTATCTCTTGGTATTTAAGACCATATTTCATTTGTTTCCCCTTTTATCACTGATTTTCCTTGTGAATTTACTATTTATAGCACAAAAACACCTACAGAAGGTAGTGAAGGAAAGTGAGAAGAAAGTATTAAACATTAACAGCAACAAGACAAAATGCATGGTTGTAAGCAAAAGGATGATTGTAAATCAGA